GCTGGATGTGTAAAATCATATCAACTTAGAAGAGAGTAACACTATGTTTAATAATTGTTTTTGCAGTTTAGTTTCACCACCTACAGAAGGTTAATACCTCCTACACGTGTAAACAGTCATAATAATTCAGCAGTATGAAAGCAACGATTAAAGAAACGAGTCAAGCTGAATATTATTGGATTAAACTGATCCAGATTTTTCATAACAGCAAACTCTGGCTTATTTCCTCTACATAAATCATGCTAATTTATTTCAGTTTGACTCCACTGTTTCTGGAGCTGAAGCCTTAAAACTCAGTGGTATATACTGTATATATATATATATACGTATATTTTTTAATGAAATGTCTTCCTACATTTTAAAATAAGGCTAGAATCTGCATTCAGCTTCACATCCTAAAATCATAGGGGAAACTCTTCACATGTCCATTAATTCAAGGTTTCCTGGTTTTTCTCATTACTTCACCATCTGTTGCTGCACTATGGGTGAAGTGGGCGTTCGCCAAGGAGGCTGCTTGACAGTAACTCAATTTCTAATGGCCACATGGTGTCTTGGTTTATAACAGCGGTAATCAAATGATTGCATTTACAAGCCAGAGGCTTAACAGTTTGAAATGAACCTGCTACACTGCACTTCACTTGAAGCTGTAAACTCTCCTTAACTAGATTATAATATGTTAAGTTTGCTGTACTAATTGAGGTCTGTGATTGTGATGTAGTTTGTGGAGTGAAGTCAATAAAGCGTGAGCTTAACTGATCAAAATGATGCTTTTGTTTTCAATGACACAAAGAACTGATGACTTTGTAAAAATGACTTTAAACTGATTCCTCTGGGACTATTTTTAAAGGACACGTTGTGCTTTTACTTAACGGTAAAACATAACATGAAATGTGACACAAAAATCGCCTGATAATGTCGTTGAACAACAGCAACAGAACGTGCAGCTGAAGTGAACTGGCTGTGAATGTGAACATGACTGTTGTCAGACAGACTGGAGGCTACTGGATCCGACTCCACTCTCCACACAAGGGAGCATAGATAATGAATGGATGACTGGTAATGTTTGTTTCAGTTTATCACTTTTGACTCACTGCTCACAAAGTTGGAAAAAACACAAATGTGTACTTGCTCATTTGTAGAGACTCACGTTGTTAGGTTGCATTAAAGCTGGACCGTCCACTGCTTTAACCACATTTAGTTGGTGACGGTGTCTTCAGATTCAGTTTCTAATTATGTTTAAGTTGCAGCCTGTCACTCATGAAGGAGTTTGTTTGCGTTCTTACCATAAATATGATCCAACTCTAGATCCTTTGCAAAATATTGTCTGTAAGCCAAGATTTATTGTGTGCTCTTTACTGAGAAACTGGTAGCAGAGGCACATCCAGAGCTGAGTCGAATAAGAAAAGGCAGATAACCAGCTTGTGATGAAATGTATTCATGTTATTTGCACTTGAGACGTATATTAATCTGACTTTAAAGCCACATAATGTGACTGTATTTGAATGCTCCATTCACATCACTTCATTCCTCTGCATCTGTTGCTTTTCCTGCACACTTTGCTTTTCCATCCTAGCGCAGAATAAGGTAGATAAAAACGACTTATCACAAGGAAGAGAGAATGGAAGACGTGTTTCCTCTCTGTTACTTAACCCGCCTCATCTTTCGGTCTCACAGGGCAGTAAATGCACCGTCAATGCCAAACGGACTGCAGTGCGCACCGGCAAATGTTGCGCGCTTTGCTGTTGCGCGCACTTTGTTCTTCCTTGGAAGAAGGAGACTATTCCGCCGGTGTTTGATTAGTTTCTCTTGTTTGGTTTATTTGGGTGTCACACAAAAGAGAAGAACGCGTCAAAAACTTTACTGGAGGCGCAAACAATGGAAGGAATCTAAAATTATCACTCTGCAGACTGAGGTGAGTGGGTCGTGATCTGGCACATATTGTGTCTTTCCGTTTATAAATAACCATCACAAGTCGTCACAGGGCTCAGTGGGCTGAAAGAGAGAGGCAGCATTTTTTTTCCCGGCGTTGTGGATAGTTGTACTACGGAGACATGAGGCTGGGGTAGTCCCATAGCTCCAGGAAACGTTATTTCAACAGTTCCTGCACGCGAATGAAAGATTTTCCAAGTCCAGCAGCTGAGCAGGAATCAGTCGTCTTGACTGTAGTCACAGATTCAGGTGAGCCCTCTTTGTAGATGCAGTAAGTGTTCAGATTGTCAAATGTGAACACATCATTGCAGATTAGTGCATTTGTCTTTTCATATGTGGCTGTGGTTTGTGTGTTCACTGTCATATTTCAAGAGCTTTGAAAGATATGTCCACTCTAAAAAAGTATTGTTTGTTTGTTTTGCTTTTTTTTTTTTAATGGTACATATAATATTAAGAATATTAATAATGATTAATACATTAAAAAAATACACACGCCTGTGAGTTTTGACTTTTGGTAACAGCTGTAGTATAAGTATGTAAGACGTAGAATACAGTGCTTATAAAAGATACTTACCCCCCATGAAAGTTCTTCCCTCGTACTGCTTTTTAAAATCATAGTCACTTTAATTTGGCTTTTAGGACAAGCATTTACAAACAACAATTATTTCATGTCGAAGTGAAAAGAGATTTCTATAAAGTAATGTCAACTAATTAGATGTAAAATAAGTGATTGCGTAAGTGCTCATTCCCTCTAAGTATTGATTTACCTTTGGCCGCACAGAGCACTGAGCCTGTGTGGACGGATCTCAATCAGCCTTGCACATCTAGACGATGTCATTTTACCTTTCTCTGACTGGTTACATAGAGATTGTAAGTGAACAGCCACAAATTATCATTTTGATGGAGGTTTGGGCTCTGACTCGTCACTCAAGAACATTCACCTTGTCTTCAAACTGTTTCTTTGTGTCTTTGGCTGCATGTTTCGTGTCGTGTTCTTGCTGAATAACAGATCTTCTCTAATGTGCACACCATGTCAGGTTGTCCTACAGCGTTTTTACTGCATTCATTATACCCTCCACCCTTACAACCCTTCAAGGTTCTGCTGCCAAAAAGCATCCATCCCCCCATCTGCCACCTGATGCTGCCACCTCCATGCTGCATGGGAGGACGAGTGTGTCTGTGAAGTTGTGCAACGTTTGGTGTCAAACAAACACAGCATCTAATTTGACGGCCAAAAAGCCCAATTTTCATCTCAGCAGATCAAAACTTTCTTCCAGTTGTTTTTAAAGTCTCCCATGTGCCTTCTAGTGAACTCAATTCTAGATTCAATATGACGTAGTTTATTTAACAGTGCCACTTTCCCATAAAGCTTTGATGGTGAAGAAATCTGGGCAACAGTTGTTGGATCTAGTAACTCCTTCAGGGAAGCCATAGGTGTCTTGGTGGCCTCTCTAATTGCTCTCTTGGAAGGTCACTCAGTTTCTGAGAACAGTGCCACTCTAGACAGATTTACCCCTGTGCCATATTCCTTCCATGTCTTAATGATAGATTTACCCTTACTCAGAATGCTCAGTGACTTGGAAATCTAATTGTATACATCCCCTGACACCTGGAAGTGTTTTTACACTTCAGTCACTTAAGACACTTTCACTGCACTCAGATTATCTTCATTTCACTAATTGCGTTACTTCAAGCACCAGTTGGCTGCGTCTGTGTTAAATTAATTGAGCCACTTTGAAGGTGGTAAACACTTATGCAATCACTTATTTTACATTTTCTATTTTTAACTATTATTACTTTGTATAGATCTGTTTTCAGAGTTTTTTTCTTTGTAAATTCTTAAAAAAAAAAAAAAAAAAAGGAAATAAATTGACCATGACTATAAATATTGAAACACAATACGTAGAAAAGTAGAGAATAATAATAAGTAGACAAAATTTTGAAGGGTGCTGATTACTTTTAATAGGATAAATGATAAATCATGGTTGAACTTCTTCTGTAGTACAAGTTAAATATGTAGTTGGTATCAGCATAATCACCCATCCATTATCTATACACAGCTTAATCCTCACTAGGGTCATGGGGGGCTGGAGTCTAACCCAGCTGACTCAGGGTGAAGGCAGGGGACACCCTGGACAGGTCACCAGTCTATCACAGGGCTACACTTAGAGACAGACAACCAAGCACACTCACATTCACACCTACGGACAATTTAGAATCTCCAATTAACCTCAACATGTTTTTGGACTGTGTGGGAGGAAGCCGGAGAACCCAGAGAGAACCCACGCTGCACAGGGAGAACATGCAAACTCCACGCAGAAAGACCTCCTAACCGGGGATCTTCTAGCTGTGAGGCGACAGTGCTAACCACAGAGCCACCGTGTAGCCCCCAGCACAATCATAATGGAAAAAATAACTAATCATAAAACAACATATTTGTAGTCAGCTTTATTACGAGAAAGCCTCTTGGGTGAATGGTGAAACGTCTTCGAGAACTAAAAAAGACGTCCATTTATCTTGTACTGAAGCCCTTAGCACTTTTTAGACACCATTGTGTGTATATATATTGACACATAACATTGTGTAGGTCTCCCTTGTGACACAAAAACAGCCCTGGCCTGTCGGGTCATGGACTTCTGAGGGTGTCCTGTGGTGTCTGGCGTTGGGACGTTGTCAGTGGATGATTTGGGTCTCATGAATTATGGTTTGGGGCCTCTGTGGATTGGACTTGTTCCAGCACGTCAGATGGATACTCAATTGGTCCATGTGAGTTTGGTCCATCTGGGGAGTTTGTAGGACGATGAATGCTCCGGGCTGTTTGTGGTGGTCTTTAAGTTTTTGTGGTGTACTCTGTCCTGCTGGGGAAACCAGCTGGCATTGGGGAATGTAGTGGTTTGCAACAAAGTTCAGAAGGGTGGCACGTGTGAAAGCAACATGAATGCCAGGAGTTTTCTCAGCATAACATTGCATCATACCAAGATGATCAATGTTGGTTGCCTGACATTTCTGTGATTTTAATGTTGTGGCTGATTGGTGTATGCCCGTGGGTCAAACTCATGTCTCTTCTTATTTCACAGATTGACTTATGGGGACTTTCAGCCATGGATGCAGCAGACCAGTTGAATATGACTCCAGTGGAAGATGCTGAACATGAATTTACATCTCTCAACTGCTGCTCAGCTACAGGCATATTCAATGAGAACTTTTTGGACCTGGATGACAGCACAAAGCTGGTTGGAGTTCAGGTTGTTCTCATCCTTGCTTACTGCACAATTATCTTGTTTGGAGTCACTGGAAACTCTTTGGTGATATACGTTGTGTACAAGTTTAGAAATTTACGGACTGTGACCAACTTCTTCATTGTAAACTTAGCCGTTGCTGACTTGCTGGTGAACATGCTGTGTTTGCCGTTCACCCTCATCAACACTCTTTATGGTGAGTGGATGTTTGGTCAGGTGTCCTGCTTCATGCTGCCTTACGCTCAAGGCTTGGCGGTGCACGTGTCCACCATCACGCTCAACATCATCGCTCTGGACCGCCACAGGAGCATCGTCTACCACATGGAGACCAAGATGTCCAAAGACATGTGTGCCGTGGTCATTGTCGTCACGTGGGCCGTCAGCGCCTTGTTGGCAAGTCCGCTCGCCATTTTTAAGGAGTACGGGACATTCGATCTTTCACCGGACGAGTCTATTCAGGTGTGTATAGAGAAGTGGCCAGAAAGCAGCATGAACGGAAGCATCTACAGTATATCAATGCTGCTGGTTCAATACGGTTTACCTTTGGCCATCAACTCTGTTGCTTACATCCGCATCTGGAATAAACTGAAAAATCACATGACTTACGGTCGAAATGACCGTCACCAGCGCAGGAAGAAGACCACGAAGATGCTGCTGACCATGGTGGTGGTCTTTGCTGTATTCTGGTTGCCGTTCCATGCATTTCAGTTGGCTGCAGACATCGACAGCTCTGTGTTGTCTATGAAGGACTTCAAGCTGCTTTACACCGTGTTCCACATTGTGGCGATGTGCTCAACGTTCGTCAACCCCATACTTTACGGGTGGATGAACAACAACTACAGATCGGCTTTTATGTCTGTTTTTGAGTATTACAGGCCCTCCAATGTCACGTCAAGATGCTCCAAAAGCAGAGAGACCCAAAATGAGGAAGACAGGGTTTGTACTGATTGCAAATCATCAAACGTCTAAGTGGCACAATGGAAGACAGATCATTGATCATCATTTGCTGAAATGTGAAGTGTTTTTTTTCTTGTTATTTTTGAGGATTATTGGGTAAGAAGAAATTACTTTTAACATGTAAAAAAAAAAAAAAAAGGGCTTGGGAGAGCCACACAAACTCTCGCTCCAAGAAAACATGAAGTACTGCTCAACTTTAATGTTTGTGAGTCCAACTACGATGAGTCTGTGTTTGTTTGGCATGTTTCAGGCAGTTTGTCTTAATTTATTAAATGATTTGAATCTTAAACTTGAGCACAGATGGCATAACTGGGGAAGCTTGATTAACCTTGACAGTGGTGACTCTGTAGTAGATGTATGAAAATCCTTTCTGTCTAAAAAATAATATTTTTAATAAAGCAGTAAAAAATAGCCCTGCAGTCTTTTTTAAACCAGATTTAATAATAAAATATTTGTCCTGGAAAAGAAAAAAAATTGAAACCTCCCTGCTCTGAAAAAATGTGGACTATTCTCTCGTAAGCAAAAATTAAAAATACACAATCGTCTCCTTTTCTGATCCTCTCCACTGGTTATTTATATAGAGTCCATAGTAGAAAAACAGACACGGTCATGTCGGTGCTACGCTGTGAAGCCAAACAGAGTCTTTATTGCTGTATTTACAGACAAATGTTAGTGTAATCCAGCATAATGAGACACACTGTTGTCAGTGTTATAGATGAATAGGTTAAATAGGGATATGCATGATAAGAATTAATGTCCTTTTCTATGGGTTTCTCTTTTTTTGTTTGTTTTGTAAAACAATGATGGCATAATTATTCATTCCCAATCTAATACAGCTGTTTTTAAATACTTACTAGTATTCAAGGCTACCAAATTGGGAATACATACAGATATAGATTCAACTTTTCAGGTGCTGTTGCTAAGAAGCAAACACAGCAAAAATAAATGACGTGCCTCGAAAGTTAAGAGAAGAAATTATTACGTTAAACGCACCCAAAAAAACCCAACAAAAAGCAACAACAATAAGTTAAACACCCATTTCGGACACTTCAAGTTCAAAGTGTCATAAGAATATTTCAAACTGACTGTAGCTCTGTTGTATCAGCCTACATGAGGACGATGTTAGAGAGGAGAAGACTGCCACTGGAAGAGAACATCCAGAGGGCTTGTCGTCCTTCACGAGTTTAATTAATCATTGTTGAGCCCAGCCAATCTCAGAAGTATCCTCTGCAAAGTACTAAAGGGGTTCTGCGGCGACAGTTCTTGCAGCCACAAAGGTTGAGGTTGCCGTAAAACAGCTTGCAATTTCCTGCAGTGGAAAACAACCTAACATAAGCGGCTGCGTCGATGCATAGAAGCAGTCAGAACAGTCAGGCTTGTGGAAAACATGTTCTGTTGAGAAAAGGCCACTGTCCCCTGAACTTAACATTTAGTCCACGTGTATCTCATTTAGCTTTGAAATCATCTGTATAACGATGACCAAGACATTCGACCTCCCCGCGGAGCTTACAAGCGTCAACACCTGAGCTGAATTCAGAACATTTTAGTTTCCTGTCCTTTTACATTTAATTAATGTTACACTCTTTCTGATATTACTGAATGTTTGAGGTCAAATTCTGCTGTCTGTTAATTCCTGAAAAGCTTAATTTCTTTGCTTTCATAAAATGATATAATTACAAAAAGATAGAGATCCGCCATCAGTGTGCAAACATGTAGGAATGGAGGTAATATGCCGTTTGGCTGAACCCATTTTCAGACATGAAACTGTTTTTACTAATTTGCATGGCCTGTTACAGAATGCCAAATCTGAGTCGGTATTAAAAGCTTTTCTAAAAGTGAAACTTTTATATATATATATATGGATTTAATTCAATGCTTGAAGTGTGTAAAAAAAAATGTTGTGAAACTTTGACAATGATAAGTGGCAGTGATTCTTCGATAAGAAGAAGCAGCTCACATTTTATAAATCGCATGTTTTACAATAAACTTTCTAGCAAGTGGATGAGCTTTCATAGGATTTTTTTTGATGTTTAGAAAAAGTCAAGAGCCTTTTTTAAAATCAATCTGTGCGTTTCTGAAGCCTGAATAAGGTCCCGCCTAAACCTTACAATGAAAGAATATCACAGCCCGCATGAGTTTGAGCCACATTTTTGCTCCACATGCTTTGACTTCACTTATTGGGGTTTATGTCCGTCAAGTGCTTCACAATACTGTCGAAGTATTTTCGTTCTTGTGCCACCTTTTTTTTCCATGTGCGTCATCTCAAGGCTAAAAACTGCTGAAAAGAAACTCAGCTGAATTGGCACACTTGATTGTATAACGGGGATGATGGTTTTGTTTAACCGAAGTGAGTTTTACAAGATGCGCTACTGTATATTTGCGGTAAATGTACTTTTCTTGCTGTAAACACAGTTACAATAGGCAGCTTCATGGTTTTTATACTTGAGCTGCCACTTGATTGCATCATTCATGCGTTGATTAATGTGAATTCAATGCTGAAAAGACTTAATCACCTGAAGGAATGTCGTATAAGTAAGATGTGCTGCTCTGAAGTATAGGGAATTTATTAACTTCATCAAAGATGCAAGAACCTTTGTTGAATTGCATTTAAATCACACCACTGAGCAGCGGTGTTCATTTAATGTACAATCTCACTGCAGAGACAAGAAATAAAAACGTGGAACTTTTTGTGTTCAAAGTGAGTTCATACACGTGTCTTTTTGCATGTTTGTTAGCGTCCAGTGTGTCATTAATAACGCCAAATGATGTGTTAATTAGGCAAGTGCTTTAAATGAATTAACTCACCTACAAATCAAAGCAGCGAAACTTAACAAAATAAGCCTTTTCCAGGTTCAGCTGTGTTAATTGGTCTCTGACAAGTGAATATCTAGCTAAAGTATTTGGCCTATTAAATGCTTAAGGCTGACAAATGTGTACAGAAAAGAAAAAATTACCAGTTTCATCTTTTGTTAATGTTAATTAATGCTTCAGAGTGTACTGTTGGTTGGATGCAGGAAATAATTTGTGGAAACTGTGATGAGCGTGCTCCACTACTTTATGTGATTGATGAATTAATCGAAAGAATTTTCTCCAGATTAATCAATATATGCCTGCTTAGGCTCTGTTTCACGAAAGCGATTTACTCAGTTGTCAAGATAATAGTGATGAATGAAGAACAGGAATTCTCCTCAATATGAAGCACGATCTGATGCTCAGAAAACAACATTTGTGAAACAAGCTTCTGGATTCACCGTTGATGCCAAACGTTCAATACTACAAGAATGATCATCCTCACAAACCTCCTGTTTATTAACTCCAGATAGCTCGGCATAAAGGATCAGCGGCATCTTTGAATATTCGGACTGATGTGGATGGAGAAAGGTTGTGTGCTGATTTTTACTGGGGACATTTGGTGCAGTGCTGCTGAATGGACATAGAATGGACAGTGTACATAGTCTTACTGCATGTGGTATCAGTGTGGTTGGACATTGGTCATTTTTCTGCATACTAAAATGTACAAAAACTAGGATTCACAAGTATTAAATAAATGTGAATTCATAGCATGCAACTGACGTGTGAAGTAAATACCATGAATCAACTGAACTTTGTTTCAGCCTTTATTGAGGCCTTTGTTATGGGGTCTGAGCCGCAGCCGCAGGGGGATGCACATGTTTGCATTATGTTTGCGCTCCGGGTTCAGCAGGAAACTGGAACAGGCTTTGTCGTTAGACAGAAGAAAGGAGTTCCTCCTCCTCCCCAACCTGTCTTTGTTTGCAGTGAGCATCGTAATTACCACTATTTGCTTTTACTGTGATTACACCGGCGCCCAGGTTTTGAAGAGCTCTTCCTGTTGACCATGTCCTCACTGATTTGCTTTGTGTGTACGTGAGCAGCCGAGGGACAGAGATGTTAGCTCCGGGTCTCCATTTTTAGTAAGCTCATCATGCTGTATTGAGCATTAAATCAATAATTGTTTCTTTGGCTGTCTGAAGTCACTGAGCAGCAGCAGTGGAGGACACCCTCTAATCACGGACAATGAACAATAGGTTTGAAATTTATTAAATTTACCCTCGTTTCCTGGAGGTCTCGTCTTTTGGCTTTCATACAAGAAAGCACTCGAGTCACTGGCCATGTCTGTCTCTCTGCTTCCCATCCACATGTATTAATAATTGATTAAGGGCAATTTTTTTTTGGACCAAGTATCGATTTTGTCAATGATCTGTATTTCTATTGTGAAATAATTAAGTGGAGCGTGACAGGTTATTCATCAGTCCTATTGGTTAATGGAGATTTAATGGGTTCTTTAGCCACTTAAGTGGGATGCCGTTGCCATATATATCATTTAAAAGGGAACACTGATGTGAAAGAAGAAGTTAATATTAATCAGCTACTTATTTAGGCAGAATAATTACCATGGTATCATACATTAAGTGAACCCAACATTAAAAAAAAGGAAGAAATTCTGCTTTTTTGAGTTGTTTTCATTTGGACCACTGGAAAACAAAACATCTAATTTTAAACTTCAATTATTTCATAAAATTACTGCAGTCTGACAGACACATAAGCCTGATGTCAAATGTAAATCCCAATACAACGATGAAGCAAATTCTTAACGGTCAAAGTTATCAAAATGACCTTGATTTCATTTTTTATGTTAATTCAACAAGTTTTGATTGTTGGATTAGTTGTATCAAGATATATAAAGCTGGTCAATGTAATCTGTTCAAGTTCAGTTAACACACTGTGCACTTAGCATATACACACAAAGACAAAATAGTTGGTAGCCCTCAGTTAATGAAAGAAAAACCCACAACGGTCACAGAAATAACTTGAATCTGACAAAAGTAATAATAAATAAAAATTCTATGAAAATTAACCAATGAAAATCAGACATTGCTTTTGAACTGTGGTTCAACAGAATTATTAAAAAAAAAAAAAAAAAAATGTCATGAAACAGGCCTGGACAAAAATGATGGTACTCCTAGAAAAGGCTGAAAATAATGTGACCATAG